TAATTCTATTATTTGAAATCAATTCTTATCTAAATTCCTTATATACATCGTTTTAAATTCTAGTTACCTACAAACTCCATTGAGAATTTCAACTATAAATATTATAGGAATTTTCATTATTTTACCACAGAAAATAAAGAGAGCCAAGGTAGAGAGCGAATGAGAGGAAAAAGTATAGAAAAATATAAGATCTTTTGAGTGCAATATTTTATTCTTTTCAACCTTTCAAAATTAAGGTACGATATTTTTGTGCAAGTGGTTTGTTTCCTTATACTTTTATATTCAGTAATTTATGTATGAATTGGCGTAGACCGTCGGGTTCTTTATTAAGAGATAAAAGATTATATAAGAATTTAAGATGATCTAAGATGGGTGTGTCGCTTGGTCACCGATATACTCCATAGGAGAAGAGTGGTATGAAATGTTTATTTAATTGTTATATAATTGTGTATGGGAATTGCACGTATTTTACTAGTATTTTCAAATACTCACTCTTACAAAATTTTACAAGTTAGTTTGGGTCGATTGGGAATGTGGTGGGACGGTGATGCGGACTGTCGGAAGAATTGAAAAAATAAAAACATAAGCCGTTCTCTTTGACCGTTTTGGGTCGTTTTCTGTTTTCGATTTTCCAAAACAGTGAAAACGCGTTCTCTTTCCTATTTTCGAAAACGCGTTTTTGAGAACGACAAAAAATTTGTACACAAAACACAAAACGATCAAAACATCATTTTGNCGTTCTCTTTGACCGTTTTGGGTCGTTTTCTGTTTTCGATTTTCCAAAATAATGAAAACACGTTCTCTTTCCTATTTTTGAAAACGCGTTTTTGAAAACGATAAAAACTTTGTACACAAAACACAAAACGTTGAAAACATTGTTTTGGTCGTTTTCAAGCAAAAACAAGGAAAAAATTGAAAACACGGGAAATGGCCATTTTTAACGCCTCCGATGCCACAGTTTCTTCTTCTTCCCTCTTCTTCCAATCTAGGCGAGATCAATACAGTGATGAACTCGAATTCTCCGTCAACGAGTACGGGAAGACCTGGATCGACCGATTCAACAGGGCCTAGAAGGAATCTGTAGCGGCCCAAATGTATTTTTCTCTTCATACACAATCTGTTTTTCGTTCCTTAATTTTACTCATTTTTATTGAATGATATTTAATTTGAGAATTGATGAGTAGTATGGAAACAATTGTCTTTAATTGAAAATTTGACTGGGTTTAAGGGTGGGAGTTTGTCTTATAATCCTTGTTAATTTGTATATATCTGGGAAGTGCATCGGACATTTTATTTTATGTATTTACGAAGGGTACCCACACAATACTAAAAGATTTGGCTGCATAATTTTTCTACGATTTCATACTCGTTTGCTGCCAACAGTAGGAAACTTCAGTTAAGTCGAATTATATCTGTGTGGGTTTTTACTCGAGGCATATTAAGGCATGGAAATGATTTTAGAATACAAAGTATTTTTTGTCAACATGATGCATCATTGACTAAATCGATTGGCTAACTGATTTACCTACAAGGGATTTTGAAATAATTAAATTGCAATGACACCACAAATGTATGCGTCTTTAAGCTTGTTTTCAAAGAGAGATGATCCAGACCTAGTTCCAGCGTTTCAGGGTCTGAGTAGTTCAATAGGTTGGGTTCTCAAAGCTCACATCTCAGAATTAGCGGGGATTTAAATCCCCAAGGCCTGGGGTGGGAAAGTGCTTACTGATTCACAGGGAATGCACTGGCCAATACTTCTTTTTCTTTGGATGTT